AGAGCTTAAAGAACACATTTTGTTTGCCGTAGGCAGCTTTCATAAAGCTTTATCTTTGGATATTTGAAAAAATATATATTTTACAAGTTGAAAGGAAGCCCAGAAAGGTGACATTTCTGAAATAAATCTTAAGATATTCCTTCACAAAGTGATTTTTCTAGGGTGGTGAGGGAAAAACCAAAAACTTCGTTTGTTTACTTAAACACCTAGTGAAAAATTGCCAATATACTGTGTTATACTTGAAAAAAGCACTATATTGAAGTGCTGTTTAAGTATCAGAAGATACATGATAAATATTAGACACTTAATTAACTGACAAGTGATACTCCTCTAGACACCCCCCTCAAAAAAAAAAGTAATAACTGACTGGTAATAATATGCAGCAAAGTAGGTTTAAATGAATGTTAAGAATAGCCAGGAAGGGGAAACTTTAATAGGATGTCGAAGGGGGCCAATATGCAGCAGGAGTTATGTGTACAGAAGGTGGCATGGGATACAGGAGATGAGATGGAGCCATTTGGTGATTAAATGTCAGCTGACCTACACATCCGTATATGAGCCTTCAGTCTTCTCTTAGCTCAGGTGACTGTCTTCTTTTCCCATAGGGCTCTTCTGAGTCACTGAGGATCTTCCTGGCCTGAAACCCTCCAGGGCTATCAAGGCTAGGGTGCTTTTCTTGATTGGCCTGTTTGCCAAGATATTCCTGTGATTTTCAATGTGCAAAGTTCTCGTATCAGCAGAGACCCCATGGTATTCCACCATGGAAACGTACCATTTGAAAGCATAGGGAACAGAAAGCAGGGAAATGGGTTTGTGTGTCTGCAAGCCTCCAGGCTAGAGGACCTCATTCCAAATTGGGATTTCCAAATACTGCCACCCCATGAAGTGCCAGACTCCATTTCATGTATTAAAGGGAATCATATCAGCGACTTTCCCTGGCTTGTGGGAGTACCGTGAAAAGCAAATGGGACAAAGAATTTGAAAGAGGGCTCCAAACAACAGGGCAATACAGATGTGAAGTATTATTTCCTCCTCTGTAAAATGGGAATAAGCAAGGAACTGCTGCATAGTAGCGTGTCGGTGAATCTTAATTATGTAATGCTTGAAACACAAATCCTCCTTGATGTTGTCATTCAAATATGTGGTACAGCACCTTTCTCGGCTTCTTTACCGCTCATATTTCTGCTGCTTCTGTGGTTTACGGAAAATGTAACGCTTTCTGCGTAATTGTTACAGAGCGCGCGCGCGCGTGTGTGTGTGTGTAGGGGAAAGAAGGAAGGAAGGAAACCTAGTGGTTGCGTTGAACGTCGAGTGTAGACTGTGTGAAAGGATGGAAGAAAGAAGACCCATCTGAGGATCGAGGGGCCGAAGCTTGCAAGTATCCACGAACTGAGTCACGGCAGCGGCGCTTAGGGAAGCAGGAGTAATCGGGGGAGGAGACTGCGGAGCAGGGGAGGCGTGGGAGCGGGACAGAGGGGCAGCCCAGAGCGCGCCGGCCAATCGGAGCGCGCTCCGCCAGCGGCCAATCACGGGCCGCCTAGCCCGGCAAATCTGCCCGGCAGTGCGGGGCGGGGCTGCCGGGAGTCCGGGTGCCGCCGGTTACACTTCTGAGTGCCTTTCAGGAAGCCACAGGGCAGGGGGCGTCTGTGCAGAGAAGCCGGGGGAGTGAGTCGCAGGCAGGTCCAGCCTATGAACCAGCCCAGTGACATATATAGAAGCATAAATCAGGCCAGAGATGGTCCGCCCGGCCGCACACATGTGTGTAGACTCACAGGCATGTCTGTATGCTGTGTGGGCACCTGTCGTGTGAGTGGCTCCGGGCGTGGCTGCTCCTCGGACGTTCAGTTTCTGTAAGATTTATCTCTAGGGGCCTACCTTCCCCCATCTCCAGAGGGGAACGTAAGAAGTTTAACGAACCTGGGACTGAGCAGATTAAGGGAGTGGAGCAGAGGCTGGGCCGGAGAGGGTAGGGACTGCGGGTGCTGAGGAGTAGGGAACCATCTATTCGCCCCCTTTCCCAGGCAGAAAGCCGTTTTGGAAAGACTGTCGTGACAGAGGTGGCTCTGAAATGTCTACAGAGCCCGAGAAGTGATGATCACTGAGTGAGTGGCACTGGGCTGAGACTGGCCAATCTGTTGACAAGAGGGATGCTAGCACTTAGGAAGGCAAGGAGGAAACTCAGAATGGGGACCATCTGCTCCCCCAACCCCAGCGGGACAAAGACATCATCGGAGGTCTGCAATGCCGACTGGATGGCCTCGCTGCCCCCTCACCTCCACAACCTCCCCCTTTCCAATCTGGCAATCCCAGGTATTCTTCTATTCCTACTTGTTCCCACTGTGTTTAATTCTGCCATTTTAGTGTTGTTAATGGGTTGAGTTGCTTTTCTATTGTGCTGAGAAATTGTCAGTGACCCCTTTTTATTTCCAAACCAGAAACTTAACACTGAAGCAGCTGCTTTAAAGAGATTTAAGTACACTGCATCATTGGCAAAGGGACTCAGGAGAATGGAAGCACTGCTGTTTTTGCTTGTGATTTTTTGTTTGTTTGGTATTGTTTATATTTGATGGCCTCATTCTAAGAATATTATCCTTCTTAATGTTTGGGCCAGGGTATGTGAGAGGTACATTTACTTGAATCACTTAAAGGAAAAAGGAGAAATCAAGAGGAATAAAAAGCCATTAACACTTTTAGATCTGGATCAAAATTAAAATTGAAAAATATTTCCTTTCTCATTATCTGACCTTGTATAGTGGAGAAAGAAACAAAAAATGAATAGAAAATTAGAGAATAGACACATATTTTTATTGTTGGAAAAGCCAGAAATAGAGAATGCAAGATTTCATCACAGGCAGTCATTAGGTGTGATGAAGTTATGGTGTTTGAAGCTTTGTCTATATATATATATATATATATATACACAGGTGTCTGCCTAACCAATGTAGAACTATAGCCTTGAAAAGCCTTGAAAAGCACTTCTGCTCCAGCCACTGTACTAAAAGCTCTCTGCTGGAGGTTTTCTGCCTTGACGTCATTTGTTAGATGTGCCCTCGTCCTTCCACTCAAAAGGTAGTAAAAGTATGGTTTCTAGGGAAGGATATTAGGGCAGTGAGCTTGGCCTAGTGTACTGAGCAAAGTCCTACGGTGCTGATACTTGGAAAGCACTCCTAGCAGCAGGGGATGGAATACTGCCAATTCCTTGTCTCACTTGGAGACATAACAATTGAAATTCGCCCCTAGACTGCCAGACAAACTCCCAAACATTCCTTGGACCAGTCTGCCTTTTTGGTGGTTAAAGAGATGACCTCATGTAAACCCTGATCTTTGCTTTCTGTGCATGAGGAAGAGCAGTGCTGGCTTCAAATGCAGGCTTTTCTTTATTCTAGTCTTCTTTTGGAGATCTTCCAGGTTCATTGTCCTCGTGGGCCCTGGTTGCTTTTGAGCAAAGAGAAGGCTGCTAAATTTCTTTATAGATATGGTCACTTACATTTTGCCAGACATTAACTACAGCTCCTTAGGAAATGCCAGATGGGCATGCTTCAGAACAGGTTTTTTCCATGTTTAAGTGACGCTTGTGGAGCCATCACCAAAATGATGTGCGGGCCACCTTTGACATTAGTCATTTGCCTTCAGGCTTTCTGATCGAATTATTTTGTTGAGTGATACGGCAGGTATGTGTGTTTGCAAACAGAATGGCATCTTAGGCAGACTCTAAATGGTTCTGTCATTCAGGTCATGTGCAGGGTAGGTTGGGGCTTCCTCCTTCCTTGTACTTTGGACAGCCCAGACCATAGCAAGCAGCTCTGCTAGTGTATTGACTTGTATTCTTGGCTGGGTATTCTGACTCTGTGACTCCAGAAAGGAGCCGGGCATTTGTTCTGTGATCTGTAGGGTATCTCACAGTTACTAGAATTGTTGGGGCAGGTGGGAATTGCGGGGAGGGAGCAAATAGCCAGGGCCTGCTGCTACAACTGGAAATTCTATGATTAGCCATTGTGGGGGACACAGGAATTTGTTCACCCAGCTTTGTGTAGTCCAGCCCTGCTAAGCAAAAAGAAAAAAAATGGCCTTGACTCCTCAAAAGATGCTGAGTTCACCACTGTGAAATGCCCTCTTCCCGGCAGTGGAAGTGACATTAAGTGTATGTATATGTAAGCTAAAGATAGGAAAATCACGTATTAAATGCCAACCATTCATGGACTCCCCAGCTAGTTCTTCTTTCTCCACCTTGAGCTTGATACTCCCCACTTAAAGACTAGCAGTCAAGTTCTGCCCAGCCTTGCCAAGAAATTCTGAAATATAAAAGGCATTCAGGCAGTGGGGGCCACCATCTTCCTCCCTTCTCCCCTCTTCCTGCTCCCTCTTATAGTCACTGTCATCACAATAGCTATTATTAACTGAGCACTACCATGTAGCACCCATTGGCATACTGTACCTCAAACCCTAACACCTCCATGGAGTAGGTATTAACATCCTCCTTTTAGAAATAAGGAAATCATTGTTCAGAGAGGTTAAGTAATTTTCTGAAGATCACATAAGTAGTAAGTGGCAGAACTAGTATTTAAGCCCCTATGTACCTGCCAAACCCATGTACTGTCCCTGTGCCCAGAGGGGTCCTTGGGAAGTGCAGAGCAGTGGGAGTGTTCTCTAACAAACCATCCTTTGCAGTGAATTAGAGAATTTTTAAAACTCGGCAGTCTTTATCTGAGTAATTATATATAGATAGACACTTACATGTATACATTTTATATATTGGTATACACACACACACACACACACACACACACACACACACACACACACACATACATTTAGAGTTGGAACCCAGTAAGTTTTCTATATATATGTATATACACATTTAGAGTTGGAACCCAGTAAGTTTTCAATTCGAATATAGTGCGTCAACCTGTTCTGTGTTTGTGTGTGTGTGCTCACGTGCTCAACTGGGGCGTCTGTAAGACTAGGTCAGATCTGTCAGGATGGGGGCGGGGCAGCAGGACATGGGAGAGGGCAGGGAAAAGGCAGGGTGTCAAGCAACAATAGCAGAACTGGGATGGAGTAAACTATGTCAGATTTGAGTGCACCTGCTGCGTTTGCCTAAGTCATGATGGGAGAGAACATGTGTGCATGCACACCTCTAAACAGAGCCTTGATGTATTATTTTACTTCCACAACTGTTACTAACACCTGTTAATGACAGTGTCACCCCAAAATATTGAAATATCTGGGAAAAGAACCTCAGAATATTGCTAATTGCTACTTTATAGAATCATTTGATGCCCAAAGGGTAAAGGATCTGGAAACTACAGAAGTCATATTTTTAAATTAAATCTTTAAACCTCTACAGACATTTCACTGTTATTAGTGAAAGCATGATTTTCTCTGTGGACAAATGAACTGATAGGAAAAAAATTTTCTGCAATGTATATTGTTTTTCAATGAATTCTTTTTCTCTGTATATTTTAGTGTTGTTCCTTTTTTTATTAACCATGCTCTTTCTTTTTTGTTAAAGGTAAACTATTTGGTCTATTGGGAAGAACCTTGAACTTAAGGGTCTTGAAATTTGTTGTTGATTCTTGCTGTGTGATATCAAAGAAGTATCTGAATTTCTCAGGATGTAGTTTCTTCACTTGTAATTAAGATGTTGGATTAAATGAAATACAGAGTCCTTTCCAGATTAAAAATTATTTAATTAATTTGAGGTTTTTGTTTTGTTTTGATTTGTTGCCTGTTCTTTGTTCAAATGTAGAAAGAGATGGAAAGAATAATTGGATCATATAGGTCTAAATACCATTTCTTTTATGCCTCTTAAAAATGAGAAATTATTTTTGACATGTGTATATAAGGACTCACGATTGCCAGAATGAAGCAGAGGGCACTCATTTCAGCATCCTAAAAGGCACTGCAGATTAATGGTTCTACATGAACTTGTACCTCATTAGGTCCTAAATGTGTTTTAATAAACCTCCATGCTCAGGCCTATGGAGCCCCAAAGATGAATCAGGTATCAACCCTACTGTCAAAGAAGGTTATGATCTAGTGATATATGTGTGTGTGTGTGTGTGTATATATATATGTATATATCTGTGTGTATATATATATATACACACACATATATATACCTTCATCATACATAGTTTTAAAAAAAGAACTAATTGAGAGAAATGTTAAAACACAGATATAAATAATGTGTTATAGAAGCCTATAGAATGGAAAGATTAATTCCAACTTCTAAGATCAGGAACTAATTTGAGAAAATGGCATTTGACCTAGGATTTGAAGAGGGGTCAGGACTTCAATGGATGTGGCTTGGGGATCAGGGCTGGGAAAGGGGCTTTCCAGGTGAAATTAACCAACTGAGCTAATGAATGGGGGCCGATGTGGGAAATGGCGAGGGGATGCCCTCTCCTATACGTCCGTATCCCTGTTATACTATCTTTTTCACAGCACTTCTCAACACATTGTTATTTTTAAGTGTCTGTCTTTTCCATGGTCTCTGAACAACTTGCAGACAGAGAATATGACTTATTTCCCTATATCCTAAATCCTAGTAGAAGGTAGCAGTTCAGTTATTGGTAACTGTTGAGGGAATGCGTGGAACTGCAGAGTAATCACGCTGGAAAAGTGGCCTGTGGGTGCCACCTTTTCCATTGTGACTACAGCTGAACTGCATAGATCGGTTAGGTTCGCCTTTTATAAATAGCCACATGAATTCATGTGAAAATCTTCCAATCCATTCTTTGTTTTTATGCATAATATTCCTGAAGCCCTTGGCAAGGCTCATCACTGAACCTCATTAGAAATGAAAATACTGAGACAGAGTGAAATGATCAGAAGAGTCAGAAGCAGAATAACTTCTTTCCTAGAAACAATTCCTTCACCCAGCATCCCTTCTGCCTTCCTTCATCCCTTGTCACATTTGAGCTTCTCGAGCTTCTTGCCTGTCCTGCCTGGCTGCTGCCTCTGTCTGCTCTCATCTTTCGTTCCCTGCTTTGCCTTCCTTCCACTGACCTGACCTATTCCCCAGCCTTTCCTTTCCGAGGTCAGCCTTCCTCAGGTGCTCCTCGCTGCTCTCCAGTTCCCGTTCTCATGTTGCTGCTGATCATTCCCTTCTCTTCCTTTCTACCTTTCTGGACTCCTATTTTCTTCCCATGCAGTTTTACCCTTGGCCACTTGGTGATTTCTATAGCTCTTCTCCCAGTGGCCCTACACTTTCTTCCCACTTGTGTGACATGGAGACAAAAGTCACTAGCAGGGCAGGATGAAAGGGTCATTACTCAGGTCCTGATGCTGGAAGTCGGACCAGGTGC